AACTGATTTGTACCAGTTTGGTCAGTGAACAGCTCACAAGGAGGTTATTTTGCCGTTGCTTTCCTAAGGGCATCTTTAACGTCCTTGTTCCTCAAGCTGTAGATCAGAGGGTTGAGCATAGGGATGATGAGGGTGTAAAACACGGCGGTGACTTTCTCCATCTCCAGGGAGTACTTGGAGGCTGGTTGCATGTGGCTGAGTCCCGCAGGGACATAGAACAAGGTAACAGTCAGGAGGTGGGAGGCACAAGTGGAGAAGGCTTTATGCCTTCCTTCAGCAGACCTAATCCTCAGGATGGATAAGAGGATGTATACATAGGAAGTGATGATGAGGAAGAGCACAGACATGGAAATGGTCCCATTAAGGGTTACAAGCAAAAGCTCATTGAGGTGCCTGTCAGAGCAGGAGAGCTTCAGCAGAGGGTTAGTGTCACAGAAGTAATGGTTGATGGTGTTGGGACCACAAAAAGGCAACAGCAGCAAAGAGCAGGTTTGGATTAGGGAGTTCAAAATCCCCCCCATGTATGATGCAGCCACCAGCTGAACACAGACACCCTTGGGCATGGAAACCGTGTAGAGCAGCGGGTTGCAGATGGCTACATAGCGGTCATAAGCCATCACAGCCAGCAAGAACACCTCTGTGGTCACAAACATGAGGAAAAAGAAATGCTGCAGGAAGCAGGCAGGGTAAGAAATGGTTTTCTTTTCCAGCAAGAAGCCAACAAGCAGCTTTGGAGCAAAGACAGAGGAGTAGCAAAGATCAACAACAGAGAGATTGCAGAGGAAGAAGTACATGGGAGTGTGCAGCCGGGGGCTCGTCTTGATCAGTGCCATCAGCCCCAGATTGCCCGTGAGGGTGATGAGATAAATCATGAAGAAGATTACGAAGAGAGGTGTCTGCAGCTTGGGCTCACTTGTGAGTCCGAGGAGGATGAACTCTGTCACTGTGGTGTGATTGCCTTGAGACCTGTTACTGTATCGCATGGCAGCATCCCTGTGGGAAGGAGGAGAAACCGAGTGAAACAGGGAAGAGCAATGCTGTGGCTTGGATGCGGTGCTGCTATCAGCATGTATTCTGTTAGGCTGGGCATCAAAACAACAAAGATTTGATAGCTGAGGCAACATCTAACTGTGGTTATTGGTGAATTATCACGGGCAGAGAAACTCATCCAAAACCTTTCAGAAATGGCATTTTGTCCCTTAATCATGAGACTGAATCAGATCTTTCCCTTT